TCTATCTATCTATCTATCTATCTATCTATCTATCTATCTATCTATCTGTGTATCTAATTATGGTGATTACAAGGAAAGGAATAATAATTAAATATGTCATTGCAACTTGAAATTACAATTATTCTTTTAAAAATGTTTTCAAGCAAACTTGTCATTGAAGTGTGAAGTCATGCTTTTACAAAGGAAATGCATAAATGTGTGGATAAAACATATGTCAGGGTACATTGACTTTAATATTATCTCAGGAATCAGCATTTCAAGTTTATTATATATAAACAAATTGTCTTTTATATCTAAGTGTGCTGGCTTTTCAATCAAACATATATTGTTTTATCAAAGAGTATATTTGGAGAAAATATCTTTTCAAATGGCTATAATATTGAATGATGCCAGAGTTAAGAAATTATCACAGTCACCTGGGGTAGGAATACTGTTCACAATCTCTTACCTGTGTAAAGAAGGGCTCATAAATCTCCACTCCTTTGTCAGATCCTTGTAGCAAAACCTCTTGGCCACGTCTCCAGCTATAGCGCACAGGGGGGTTGGAATTGGCCACACATCGGAGGAACACTGTTCTCTCATAGTAAAATTGTTCTTTAGCTTCACCTATACTTTGATGAACAGTTACTACTGGATCATCCAAGTCTAGAAAAAATAAAAAATAAGCAAGTGAAAACATTACAAGATGTACAATTTCTAAAGTGTTGCACACTTATGCAACTCCTGGTTAATGATGCATGCTTCTAATGATAGCAGTGGCTGTAAGTACTTAAATAAATTTACTAAACTCATTAACAAAAAATTCCAACTTATAAAAATTGACAGTTTTGTCTTCAGATTTGTTGAGATAGTACGAAAGTTCTTACATTTCTCAACGCCTTGTCAAAAGTCAATAGTCAGACACTTCATAAAAGTGAACAAAATTCAAATGGTCAACCCTGACAACACACATACAACTAGCATTATATGTACTCAATAGGTTACATTTAGTAACATACACACACACAGAGACACATGCACATACACACATGCACACACATGTATGTATGTATGTATGTATGTACATGCATGCATGCATAAAATAACAATTAATGAGAAAAATTCCCTGAATATGAAGGAGAGTAGGGAAGTTATATGGGAAAGTTTGAAAGGTAGAAATAACAAGGAGAAATGTAATTAAATTGCAATCTCAATTTTTAAAAAAGTTAAAAATAAATTCAAAACAATGAAAATAAAGTCTACCACAGAATTCAATATCACAGAGCCCAAGTGACTTTTTCTTTTCATTTAGTGATATCTGATAACAAATTTATGTAAAATAAGTATTTGTAAGTTAACATAATCTTTGTAGTAACAAAATATGACACTGAACTGTGTGAAAGTTTCTCTTTTTTTCTTAGATTTTATATCACAGTATATTTGCTAATTTCAAATGTGCTAAGGGAAGGCACCATTAAAAGGCATTAAGATCTCTTCTGCTGAGTATTGGCTTATGTGTAGCATTATAACTATATATTCAAAGGGACAGGCTTTAGAGAAAGGCCTACTCATTTAGAACTTGTAGTTTCATTTCTTTGTCTATTCATTAGTCAAGGCACCAGGTAAATGAAGGTGGGTGACATTACCAAGTTGCAGAAACACTATAATAAACACAGCTACTCCTATCAGATTTGGCTGAGGGATCATAGTTTGCCAACACTTCATGTAGTATAGCCTGGTTGATTTTCCTTAAGAAAAGAAAAATCTGTAACAAACACACCTACCTTATAGCATGACAAGCTGGAAGCCCCATCCTCAAACATAAACCTAACACAGACTATCAGGAATGATGTAAACACTTGCTGTTAATTACCATCACAACCCACTAAATGTCCTTTCAGCTATATAAAACTTTAAAAGATTAATTAATTTTAATGATCTTCCTTATCAGTAAAATGATCCTATATTATTCAGGCTGTTGTTGGGTTCATTAATGAGATAGCTTATAAAGCCATGGGTACAGGGTAAATAGTTAACACAGTTTAGCCTTTAGTTTTAATACATAGCTGTCACTATTATGTACTAATTTCCATCGAGTCCATGTTTTCTCTTGTCTTTATCTCATGACCCTATATGCACTCAGCTCTCATTATAAAAGTGTAAATGGCGCATTTGGTCAGTTGTTCAGCTACCAAAGACTTCAGATGACAAGCGTTTTTAAGTCAAAGACTGGAGAAAAGCTACAGTGTGCACATCACATAACAAAGAAGAATGTGAGCATATGGAACATGACATGTTTAAAAAGTCACAGTTCCTGAGAAATGATACTTCCAATGTATAAGATAATAAATACTCAACACAACTAGTGAAGTTATTGCTATTGATAGAGACAAAAAACTAAAAAGACAGGATGCAAAAATCCCTCCATTCTGTTGACAGCCCTTTAAAAATGTGAATTATATGACGGACCTACTTTGATTTCTTGTTTTCCAACATTATAAGTTTTTTTTAAAATTTCTTCCAACATTAGCATCCTTTCGCAGCTATCTCACAGGCCTCTAATTTTAGTAGTGCAAATTTACGGAACAACTGCTGCTTTCTGCTAAAGATTAAGGACTGTCAGTTCAAATTCACTCTACTGGCCGTGTAGAGACATGTGCTGTCTGATCTTAATAAGCTGGGATATTTGGGGATTTTCAAGCCTATGAAATATTCACACAATGATTAGCTCTTCACGTAAACCTAATCCAACATCAGACTGATGAAGTGAATTCAACTCAGTCACTTGAATTAGGGACTACACTGTATTTTGATTGTGAACATTTTATTTTCTTTCTTGGTGAAGACAGTCCTTTGACTATTGGCCAGTAGCAAGTGGCTGGTGACATAACACTGGTGACATAACTATTCTTAGTCTCTAAATAGTTAACAGCTATATTACTTTCTTTTTTTTTATTTTTGTGGTGGAATATACTGATAAAAGCAACATAAGAATGAGCGTCTATACGGTTCCAATCAGAATAGTGTCCATCATGGCAACAGGAATGTGAGGCTATCCTGGCAGACAGAAGGCAAATGGGTGTCATTTCATCCTCTCATAGTAAGCAGAGAGAGAATGGAAAGGGAGATGAAGCTATAAAACCCCAGAACCCTGCCCCTAGGCATGCTGTTCCTCCAGGAAGTCTCAACATCCTAAAGCTACCATAACCTCCCGGCACACTGTCATCTGCTGGGAACAAATGTTCAAACACATGAGATTATGAAGACGTTCATATTCAAACCCAAACAATAGTGTTATCCTTTCCAATACTCTATTTTTAGATGCATTCTTAGATCTTTTATTACTGGGACGTGGTGTGATCAGGCTCAGATGTGAATAATCTAGGCCTTAACAGTCATTTACTCATCCTGTATAGTGTCCTGAATGAAAGCTGGGTCATGGGTCACTAGCCTTCTGATAATTCAACCTCGTGATAACAGCTTCCTAAACATTCTACTGGCAAAGATTTCTGTCAGAATCACCCATGATTTTTTTTTCTCTTCAAAACTAAAATGAAACAATCCTGAATAAGACTCATATAAGCATATCAAATATTATAAGTAGATTATAAATAACTATGCATATATGAATATATATATTTTTTTCTAAATACATTTATCTCCTAAATATTTTTTCACATATACTGTATATTCATATACACCAAAGTTTATATTTTACATATTCCTAAATACTGAATAAAAGTATTTTACACAGGTGAAATATAAAAATAATAAACGAAGAAATGTTGTGATATGGCAAATATATTGGTTAACACCTTCTAAGCCAACAGTGTGGTTTAACTAATTCTGTTTCCTACCAGGATCAGGGTCTTTGTAAATACAAGCACTGTGTGGATTGCAATGATTTCTAGAGAGGGAATTTGTTAACGGGTACCAGCTGCAATACTCTCAGCAGTAAGAGCAATGCAGGCTGTCCTTACAGGGAATCTGGCTGTCAATTAGAATAATTACTGAAATCCACTTATAAGATGTGATGCTTCTAGCTGAGAAAGGCTAAGCCAGAAATCTTGGTAGTCTTCTTCTCTGAAAGAAATGTCTGCAAAAATCTGTGATGGGATCCATGTTCTTGTACTGTTACTGCTTGAGAAGCTCTGCATCGTGGCCTAGTATATCCTGTGTCACAGGAAGGTCTCCTAGTGCAGCCATTATAACATTTTTTTTTTTTCCAGAGAAAGTAGAGATCTTGGTCCTTATACCTTTCTCAAACATGCTTGATGGCTGACTTATTTATCATCAGATGTGGAAAATAAATACAAATAAACAAACAAACAAAAACAAACTCAAGTCCCTTCACTGGTATAAGTAGGCATGCAGTACATTCTTTGCTGTCTTGGTATACTTCGTTTTTGTGGAACGTATATGCTGTGTGTTCTTTTCAGGGTCATGCCTGTTCTATGTGCTGTTTCTTGACACAGGATATTAGAGTAACTAATGACCATGGCTTAAAGATTAAAGCGGGTCTTTCTGGGTCAGTTAATAAAAGTTTGTCCTTTTCTGGGAACTACTGGCTGTGGCAAAGCAGGAGGAAAAGCATCGATTTCAGTGGGTGATTAGACACGATGGTAGTAAATGTGATCACTCATTGTTTCTTGAACCCATGAATTCTTATTAAAATGTACATCATCATTTAATTATGATCAGTGATTTTGAATCTCTTTGAACCTGGAAGAAGCACCTAAACCTCGCTGGATGTTAGCTTTAAAGATTATATTGACATTTCAAAGGGCCATTCTATCATTCTACTAGGCTAGCATTTCTGTGTGATATGGGATATGCAGTGAGATGCTAATACTGTGGTAACATGCACACTGAAGAATCTGTGCATCAGGGTCAACACAGACTCTGCAAATGACATCTCTAAAGATAATGCAAGAATTTCCTTTCTCCAGAATATTGCTTTGCAAGTAAATGTTCTGTATGTTCTTAGAAAGAATTTGATTGACTCACCATAGAACATATTCAGAATGATGCTACAAAGAAGTCCAGTTGCCTATTTAGTCAATATTAAAACATTCTGAAATTACCTCAGAAATAATCCTCTTTTTCTAATTGTCCAAATTTACTCTTTTAATTGTACAAATTTGATTTATTTTAACTGTATATATTTTGTATACTGAGTGACTAGCTACTTATTTTCTCCCATCTAAAATATGACCTAAGGTCTCTCTATATTTTGGGAGCCTAGAGTGCTGGATGCATTCCAATTAGTTAATAATACAGATAAGTATACTCACATTGCATGTCAAAGTTAATCCCTGTCATCTACTAAGACCTTGAGAAATAATCAGGCCCACTCCTCATGAAAAGTCCAATTATGTAATATCTCTTGTCCATCAACATTGTCTTGAAAGGGCTGTGATACATGAGATTCTCAGTGAACTCTATGCTTCAGCTATGAGTGTATTCTTACTATCTTAGTCAGTGCCGTACACTCAAAGCATTTATAAAGAGTAGGGTTAAGTGTTGTTATTTCTGGACTTTATCTTATATTCACCATAGCGAGCATATAAATCCCTTTTTAAGCATATAATTTTTTAACAGTCTTTTCTGCAATGGTGGCAGTTACAACTTCACTCAGTGGGAATCCTTTCTTCCAGCTACCTCCA